CCCCAAAACCCCAAAACCCCAAAACCCCAAAACCCCAAAACCCCTTCAATAGATTTTCATGTTGAAATTTTTAATATTTGGAGAGGTAATTGAGAAGGTCTAAGTGAAATTCGCTTCAGTACTAAAACATAATTAACAATACCTGTAGATAATAAGAAGACAGTAGGAAATAGAGTTCAAACCACCTAACCAGTCCCTTGGCTTAACTCACTTAGTTCTTCTCAAAATATAACTTTGTATGTACTCAACTAGTTAGAGCTGCTTGAGACATACAATTTCATTGAAAGGAATATGGAACATGGCTTTGAAATCAGATTGTATAATTTTAATTTTGATGAATTTTATGAAAATTATTAGGTTTCGAAAGCAAAATTAGATGTGCTTATTGGTTCATCAAATCTTTAATCTCTGATTCCCATGTGTCAGCTCCTTCAAAACCATTGTCACTATCTTGGTAGTCTGAAATGGTATCGCTGATTTCATCATCTGTGTTCATTACAAAAGGTCCATAAGAAGCAATAGGTTCCTTCAGAGGGAGACCTGCGATCAACATGAATCTGCTACCTTCTTCAAGACCTTTAATTTCTAGAATTTCATCATCATCACTCACTTCCATGAAAGCAGAAGTGCCAGAGTCTATTTTCTTCGTTTCTCCATCTTCTTGAGAAATCTCAAAGCTTCCTTTGAAGCAGTAGACAAGGAAGTTCCATTTTTCAGGAATAGTGTGCTGATAAACAGAGTCTTTGTCAAGCTCGAAGTCGATAAACTCAGCTGGAGTTCTGGTATAGATAGGTCCCTTTACATCAAAAGCTTCTCCAGCAATGACTCTGGCCCTGACTCCTTCGTTCTTCCATTTATCTACAAATGGGATGTCATCCTTAAGATATTCTTGATAAGCAGGCTATAAAAAGTTAGACTTTCTACAAAATAAACTTTGATTACCTCTTTCATTTTATCTTCCTTCTTAAGATTGATCCATAGTTGGAATCCAATAGAAGCTTCAGTCTTGCTTGCAGGAATCTCAGCATGTACGATTCCTTTACCTGCAGTCATCCATTGGATATCACCAGGACCTATGGTCCCTTTATGGCCTCTAAAGTCTTCATGATGGATCTTCCCACTAATCATGTACGTCACAGTTTCGAATCCTCTATGGGGATGATCAGGAAACCCAGCAGGAAGCTTAACATTGAAGTGATCGAGCATCAAGAAGGGGTCCATCTCTTTTTTATTAAGTGCATGGGATCCAATGATCCTTCTGACTCTGGCACCTTTGCCTTCACCTTGGTACTTGGGCTTCCAGATTTTCATAATAGTCTTTTTGTTCAGAAAACCTTGCATATTTAATTGTTAAATCTTTTAAAAAATTAGCCTTTTATACCCAGTAGATGTCGACATCATTTTCTATCCATTTTTTACCAAAAGGGGTTTTGGGGTTTTGGGGTTTTGGGGTTTTGGGG